CATTCTCCTCTCGGGATCTTGGGCACGCACACACGCCCGGCGCGAGTTTTAAGCCACCAGGTCCGGGACGCGAACCGCGGTCGACTACATGGGAGTCCAGCAACACAGCCATTAATGCCAACTGCTGGTTCCCTGTAGATGTATTTCAGACCCAGAAGTTACCAGGCGTGGGGACTGGTATTAACAGCTGTCATTCGGCGAGCGCATTGCAGCTTACAGGTGATCTCGAGGAGTCTCTCTTCACATCACCACATTGGCCTTTGGAAATAGGTCTCTTCTCTGCGGCTAAAATGAAGAAAATGGGATCCAGAGAAGTGATTCCAAATCCCAAATCCCTGGCTCTGGTGTCAGTGCAGTCATGGATGTCTGAGATGAGCTCATGGCAGATACGAGGTAGCACTCAGATATCGAGACCAGTTGGAATGGAGGTTTGGAACCAGGATGATGTTTACGGAAATTAAATGTAGAACTTGAATCCTGGAGGGTGAACCAAACCTGAAGAACCTTGTGGGCCAGGAATGGGAGAGCGAAGGTGAGATGAAGGGGATAACCAAGACCTCAGGCTCGCGTTCACAGGCCTTTAAAATAGAGATGGACCTTCTGAGGGTCCACAACGGCTTTTCTGTCATAGGCCCTAGAGCAGAATGGGAGGAAATTTCATAGAAAGGCCAGTTTGGGACGTGCATTTTTGTACTTTAACACTTCAGAACTTGGCCCTGGACCAACTGTTTTTGGCTAGCTCATACCCAATGTTCAAGATATGGTTCGAATTTAGAATGTATTGGGAAGATAAGTTTGGCTGAGTTTTAGCTGTTTCTTGGATTTTTTGTATTTATTTGCTTTTAGAAAATATCCTGGGGTCAGATCACAGCCGAGTGGGCAGAAAAAGTTTGTATTTGCCATAGTGCATGCCTTTCTCGTTTTCTCGCCTTCAGAGTCGCGTGACCCGGGTTTACTCCACACCCTGGGCTTTCAGGCGGGGCTGAGGTGTGTCACTAGTGTGAGTTCCAGACTCATTGCTGGGTTCTTTGTCATTGATTTCATTCTGGCGTTCTTCCTGTGATACTACCTGTGCTTCAGGAGAGTTCCGTGACCACATTCCCTCCCGGAGTACGGAGTACGGAGTACTCGAGTGCCCTCAGCTGACAGATCATGATCCTTCCCATCAATACCTCCTCCTAGGAAATTCCTGAGGAGCAGCTGCGATATGGTCCGGTGGCTGCATAATTACATTCCACGTTGAAGGGTGATTGCAAAGCAGTGGTCATAGAGAGTTGGTTGTTTACAGTTAGTTGGGAGGCCTTTAAAATTTAACCTGTTAACTGCAAATAATAGTTTAGTTTTTTTGTAAAAAAAAAAAAAGGCAAGGTAATTTTACAACTCTCTGTGCCTTTGTATAAATAAAGGCTAAAATGCACAGAGACCCTACAACCCAGGCACAGCAGCCCTAGGAACTGCCAACAGAAGTGGACCCACGTGTTTATCCAAAGCAGACCCGATCTGGACACGTGGCAGATGCCCAGATGATATGGTTATAGACCGTGTAGGTCATGGCAGTCTCCACTCGGCGAACCACTGTGCCACAGAACACCTGGGCTGCTTCCAGAGCAGCGTGTTCCAGCCTTTGAACACCCACTCTTTCATTTTATTATTATTGTTATTATTATTTTTTAGTTTTTGCTCTAGCATGCATGTGCTTGCCAGAGAGACGAGGGTATAGGTGGGTGGCCATGCCCCACTCTCCGTCCTCCCCCTCTGCTCTTGGGATTTTGAGCACACACCCACTGGTTCCCAGTGAGTTCTTCAAGCCTCTGTGTGTGGGACCCAAACCGTGGAGTCAGCCATGTGGGATCTAGCTACCTTAACTTCCACGCCACCTGACCGGCCCCCAAGGCCCATGTTTACAGCCCTGCATTTAACAACCACCTGCTGCCAGCTCCAGTGTTCAGAGCTCCTGTCTGCCCAGGATTTACGTGTAGACTTTTTCCTCTGCAGGCTGGAGCTCAGGCAGACCCAGCAGCTTCTTCAGCTTTTGGGAGTTCAGATGCAGGTCTCTGGGAAAAACGTGAAGTTTTTCTTGCTAAGCTGCTCTTTGGTGGAGCCAAATGTTCAAGCTTTGAATATGAGAAAAATGCGAGCACGGCTAATTTTTTTAATTCATGATTTATGCCCCATATAATCCCAAAAAGCGAAAGGTGAGAAAACTTAACTACATTTATGGATTATGTAAAGCTAGAAAAGTACAAGTAAAACCAGATTGGAAGCCAGTAAAAGGAGCTGTCTGCTGGCTGTCCGTGCTGTTAGAAGCACCTGGGACAAGTTAACTATTGCAGTTGGGCACTGAATTTAGCTTTGAATTTCTTGGCACGTAAGGTGAAAAGGGGAATGTAGAGTATAGGGTTCTTTTTATTCGAAGGTAGAAAACAGAAAGTTTTGCTTAAGGAGCTAGACCTTTCCTAATACTCAGTTCAAGAAGAAAATACGAATGCTGGTCCTTCTTAAAAATTCGTGGGGCGATGTGACTCAGATCTTCACTTCACGGTAGCTCATCAAAGTGTGTCAGATCCGCCCACCACTGTGTCAGTAGCCACCACCGTGGGCCACACATTTTCTGCCCTCAGTGGGCTGCTGTAGTGGTCTCCGGATGTGAATCGCATTCACTCTGCCCTCTTCCAGAGCGGTCTTCGGGCTGTGGTCAGAGGTATTTTGGGAATGCAGATATGAGGGGACCATGTCACTGCTCCTGTCCTGTCTGCTTACAATTCCTGCATCTTTGGTCTCAGGATAGAAGACCCAAGCCCCACCCTCTCACACACCTCTGTCACATTCTCTCTCTTGCCGTCTCTGTTCCAGTTCTTTTGTTGATGTTCAGTCCTTCCGACCAGGCGTCCTCTTCTCTCTTACGGCATGTTCCTCTTGCCTCAACTGGGTTGTCTTTCTTTCTTCTTTGTTTTTTGGAGAAGTTTTTTTTGCTATAGGTGCGTGCGCTCACCAGAAAGACAGATAGAAAGTGAGAATCACCCCCACACACACAGGGGGGATGGCCACGCCACAGTCCCTTCTCCATTCTCCTCTCAGGATCTTGGGCATGCACACACACGTGCCAGGTGTGAGTTTAAGCCACCGGGCCTGAGACTCAAATGCGGTCGACTACATGAGAGTTCAGCGACATAGCCATTACACTAACTGATGGCCCTGTCGTCTTTCTTTGGATCTGAGCTTCATTGTCACCAGAAGTGCCCTGACTTCTGGGAGCCACATTTGTTCACATCCCTCCATACTCTCAGGGTACTTACCTCCGTCCCGATACCATCGGTACTAGGTCCTCAGCCCAGGAGAGTGGGGCTGGGCTTGGGTTTTTCTCACTCTTTTATCCCAGCTCTAAACACAGAGTCCCATGTGTAGGAGAGGGGTGGGGAGACTTAAGGGAGGGGGACATATTAATATTGATCAGGACTGTCTCAGTCTGTTTTGTGCTGCTGTTACAAAATACGCAGACAAGGTATATATTTGAAACCAGACGCTTCTCGTCTTTCTGGAGGCTGGGAAGGCCCTGGTCAAAGTGCTGGCATCTGGTAGGCCTTGCTGCAGCCTCTTGTGGCTGAAGGCAACAGGAAAGAGAGAGTCCACTCACTCCCAGCAGCCTTTTTTAAAGAGATTTTTGCTATAGGGTGCATGTGCTTGCTGAAGAGACGAGATAGACTGAGAGACAGAAAGTGAGAACTCACCCCCGGGGGGATCGCACCATTGTAAACCCTTCTCCAGTCTCCGCTCAGGATTTTGGGCATGCATGCACACACACCTTGCAAGCCACTGGGTCCAGAACTCAAACCAGCGTCAGCCACATGGGAATCCAGCGACATAACCACTGTGACATCTGCTGATCCCCCAGCAGCCCATTTTAGAACAATATCAATCCATTCAGCAAGAGAGGGTCCTCGACGGAAACTTCTCCGAGACGCCACCGTCTAATGCCGTTGCCTCCGGGGTTCCGTTCCCACCTCCCGAATCTGGGGGACATATTCCCGTTGCTGCAGCCTCTTCCTCCAGGATGTTTCCTCCAGGATGTTGTGTCCTGTGGAGACATCTCTCTCTGAAGCACAGGTGTAATCACATCACTTCTTGGTACTTGTTTCCTAGAGGGTACTCTCCACGCCCCCTTATTTAGTCCTCCAGGACCTGCGTTGAGTGACATGTCCAAACTCAGTTTTCCCAGTCTTCCTAGTCCTTGCC